AGTGTCTCCCTCCCCTGCCTGCCCGCAGCCCGGGGGAGGCCCCCCCAGGGGGCGGGGTGCTGGGCGGGCCTAAGCAGGCTCATATGGGGGGGGCAGCGAGTCCCAAGAGCACCAAGGCGGTCATGGGGCCTGGCCGCGTTGTCACAGGAGTCACGGGAGGTGGCCTCGGCCAGGCTCCTCCACGCCCCCTTGTCGGGGGCCCACGGATGGTTTTCTAGGGGCTCCCTGGGCGGGGGGCAGCAGGAATCAAAGGGCCCCATGGGTGAGCAGAGCCTGTGTCTCCACCAGGGATGGCTCCTGGGTGCCAGCTGGGGCCCCGGCTAACTCAGGGTCCACATGGGGGTGGCGGGGAACTGTGAGTCGGGTGCTCAGGCCCGTGTGCTAGGGCCACTTTTCCTTCCCGGCCGGGAAGGCAGGGCTGGCTGTCCCACCCGGCACACTCTCACCTGTGGGCGGGGCTGGCCCACGGACATCAGCTCGGCCGGGAGCAGAGGCTGCAGCCCAGCCAAGACCACACCCCCACGAGGGAGGCGGGGGGCTGGGTTGAGCTCCCAGCTCCCAGCTTTGGCCTTGGGCTAGCCCCAGCCGTTGCAAGCATTGACTGCAATTTTTTAAAAGATCAGCCTGGCCACAGATGCTATTCCTTCCCTGGCCACATGGGGGCGCCACAGAGCTTCAGAGTGGCGATGGCTGCGCTCAGCCTTGGGAGTCTTGCGGGGAGGAGGCGGTGGGCTGGGGGCTGCCTGGGCTGCATCCTCCACATCTCTTCACAGCATCCGGGCAGGTGCGTCTCCCCCTGGCCTCTCACCTTGATGACACAGGAACCTGCCTGGAGTTCGCTCCCCCATCCTCGCCTGTTCTCCCCAGGGTCCCTATGAAGTTACGGTCCAGGCCGTCCCAGAGCCTGGGGCAGCCCGTGGGGGACTCTGGGGACATCGGCAGGGCCTTCAACAAAAGACAGGCAGGCAGGAAGCAGAGAGGGCTGGGAGCGGCTTGCAGACTTGAACACGGGGCTGGGTCCAGACCGGGCGCAGGGGTGGGCCAGGGCGCCCACTCCACCAGGGAAGCTGGAGAGCTGAGCAGGCAGGGCTTGTCCTCTGGCGCCTCCCAGTGGCCAACTGTGTGAACTGCAGCACCCCCACCGAAGCCTGATTTTTTTTTTTTTTTTATCTTTTTTAATATACAGAAAAGGCAGCAGGAGTGTCAGGTGCTGCTGTGCTCCCTCCGCCTTACTCTTCGCCACATCTTATTTTCCAAAAGATTTATTTGTTTGAAAGGCAGAGCGACAAATAGGAAGAGAGAGATCTTCCATCTGCTGGTCCACGCCCCCAAATGGCTGCAACAATCAAGACTGGGCCAGGCCAGAAGCCAGGAGCCAGGCACTCCATCCGGGTCTCCCATGGGGGAGGCAGGGGGCCCAAACATCTACCTTTAGGCACACAGCTGTTTGGTCATTACGTGGCTGTTGTCTATCCAAGAACTTCCATCCTTGGGGACAGCAGAGAGGAGTTGAAGTCCTAACTACAGCCCAGGGAGCAGCAGCGCCGGCCCAGGAGGGGGAGGAGAGAACCCTGGGCATGGGGCTCCCGCCTCGCTTCTCTCTGCACAGGTGCACCCGCGCAGGTGCCGCCCCCCTTCGACTTCAAGGCAGGGGTGGTGCTGCCACCTGGTGGCCGCACCCTGACAGCGCCGCTGGGGGCCTCGCCAGGAAGCCCCAGTCTCCCCTTGGTCCTGAGGCTAAGCCAGCAGCCAGCCGCACTCGGCGCCTCGGACTCTGTCTGGGCCACCTTGGGCCGGTGCACGAGTCTCTGAGCCTGTTGGCTGGGGCTCAGATGTGAAGAGTGAGCGTTCCTCGTTAGCTGTAATTGATTGCTATTTCCTTGCTAAAATCGCCCCCTACAACGGGGCAAGTGTTTTGCCCAGCAGTTAAGACACAGGTTAGAATGTCCACATTCCGCCGGCACCGCGGCTCACTAGGCTAATCCTCCTCCTTGCGGCGCCGGCACACCGGGTTCTAGTCCCGGTCGGGGCGCCGGATTCTGTCCCGGTTGCCCCTCTTCCAGGCCAGCTCTCTGCTGTGGCCAGGGAGTGCCGTGGAGGATGGCCCAAGTGCTTGGGCCCTGCACCCCATGGGAGACCAGGAGAAGCACCTGGCTCCTGCCTTCGGATCAGCGCGGTTTGCTGGCCACAGCACACTGGCCGCGGCGGCCATTGGAGGGTGAACCAACGGCAAAGGAAGACCTTTCTCTCTGTCTCTCTCTCTCTCACTGTCCACTCTGCCTGTCAAAAAAAAAATGTCCACATTCCGTGTGCACGGTGCCTGCCTCCAACTCCAGCTCCCTGCTATTGCACACCCAGGAGGCAGCGGATGGTGGCTCAAGTACTTGGGTCCCTGCCACCCACGTGGGACACCTGGATGGAGTTCCTGGCTCCTGGCTTCAGCTTGGCCCAGTCCCAGCTGTCGTGGGCATTTCAGAAGTAAGCCAGAGGGGCCCGCCTTGGGGCATGGTGGGTAAAGCCTCTGCCTGTGGCATCAGCATCCCATCTGGACGCCAGTTCGAGTCCCGGCTGCTCCACTTCCGATCTAGCTCCCTGCTAATGTGCCTGGGAAAGTGCACGCCCACGCCGCACCCGTGCATGGGGGTGTTCAGACGCAGGTGTTGAAATGAGACCCCACCCCAAGTCTGTCTCTGCCAGGGCATTTTGCGTTCTGAGCTCAGAGCCCCCCACCCTACCCCGACCCCAGTGCGAGTCACCCTTACAGCGGGGTTTGCCGCTTGCTGGGCGTTGCCGTCTGCTCTGGGCGCTGTGCCCCGCTAGGGGGCGCCGAGGAGCTCGGCTGCTGCGGGACGGCTCAGGCTCAGGACACCGCGGGGCTGTGGGTCCCCGCTGCCCTGCCAAAGACAGGCAGGGCGGGCGCTGAGACAGACTTAGCCCGTCCGCTAGGTGGCGCTGCGTTCCACCAGACACCTGCACACTTGGAACCTGGCCCGGGGTTTTGGCACGCGCAGGCCCAGGAGAGGTGGGAGGGGGCCCTGTGCCTGGGAGGGGGGCAGGTGATGCACCTGGAGCTCGGCGGGGTTGGCCGATGGGGCTCCCTCTGACCTCCCAGGGGACACACGCCCCACTCGGAGTGGGCCAGTGCCTTCCTCCGGTAGCCAGGGAGTGAGGACGTCCAGAGGAAAGGTCACGTGTTGCAGGGGGCGTTCTAGCCCCGCCTAGACCCCCAAACAGCACGGGAGGCGGGACTGGCTCGGCTCCACCCGCTGAGCCCCGCCCCCACCCAAGCAGCTCCGCCCACTCTTGTTGGTCCAGGACGCAGCGGCCAGGCCTCCCTGCTAAGCCACCTGCAGCTGCGCCCAGGGAGGGATGGGGCTGCCCCTGCCCCCACCCCGCAGATGAGCCGGGGGGGTGTCTCTGGGCTCAGGGACTGGCAGGGTGGGAGGCTCCAGGGCGCAAGGAGCGAGGGAAGGCGGAGAGGTCGGTGGGAGTCGGGGGACAGCCGTGTCGGCCCCCGGTGCACAGAGCGAGTGTGAGGTGTTGGAGGCTCACTCCCAAGGGTGTGGCTCAGGGACCCCCGGGGACGGGGGACACAGGCTGACCCGGGGTGAGCAGGGCCGATGACAAAGGCCCACGGGTGTCAGCGGAGGCCAACATTGCTGAAAAGGGGGGGGCGGGGGGATGGGCCCCTCCACGCCCCAGGCACCTGCTGCTGGCTGAACTGTCTCCACCTTAACAGTTGATTGACTTAAGGGCGGGGCCTGTGGGGATCTTGGGGTCGTGGAGGGGGCGGTCCTAGGAGTGTGGTTTGCATGATGAGAGGTTTGAGGATTTCTGAGCTGCAGTTTGGCCTAGCTCCTCTCTGGCCTTCCTGGCTCATGATGCCATCGCTGCTGCCACTGCACCTGCCATCACCACCAGGCTCCACCAGACGCCAGGCTGCATGGGGCGGCCGGAGCCAACCTTCGTTCCCTAAAAGGCTCCTTCCAGCTATCTTGGTTAATGTCCCGGAAAGTGGACGGATACACCTGTCGTCTGGCTGTCCACCTGGAGGAAGTCACCCCTCGCTGGCCTCTGGTCCTGGGGCCCCTAAGAGTGTCTCCCGTGTTTTCCAAGGGGCGAGCGGCCACTTCCAACAACAGCTGACCTGTTGTCTCAGCTCCGGGTGGGCTGAGCTCAGCTCATCTTTGGGGAGGTGGAGCCCTAAACTGGTCCTGTACCAAAACACTCCCCAAGCCTCCAGGTGAATTTGGACAAACAGACCAGGGAGCTTCAGGCTGCTGGAGGGGCCGTGGCCTTCCCAGGACACTGAAGGGGCAGTGGCCCCCACGGCAGAGCGTCCAGGTGGAGACGGCGCCTCCTCACTCTCACCCCCAACAGATGCCGTGCAGGCCTGGCCAGGCTGCGCTCCCCTGCAGTTCTCGTCTGGCTGCCGCAGGGCCTTTGCACGTCCCCTCAGCCCGGGACTCGGGCCTCTCTCCCACCCAGACGCCTCCACGTGCTGCCTGCCCTCGTGTGTGTCCCCAGGTTCTCTCTCTCTCTGTCCTGTAGACTGTGCAGCTCCGGCCTCAGGGTGCATGACCATGGAAAACCAGGGGTCAGACGCCTGTCTCCTGGGAAGTTGCATTTCTAAGCCTCACGCCAGCCTCCGGCAGCCCCTAGACCAACCCCAGGAGGACAGGAGCCAGCAGACAGGTGCGGCTGGAGCCCAGCAGGGGACGCTGTGCGGGCACCTCCGGGCTTGCCCTTGGGCACTGCCCACACAAGCATGTGGACTGGGACCAATGCCCGTCACCGCTGGGGCCAAGGCCAAGGACAGGGCTCCCTACTGTGCCATCCAGGAGGGAGGGGCTGATCAGAGCAGGGGTGGGCGTGGCCCAGGAGACTCCCAAGGCTGCCAGCTCGGCCCTCATCCCCTCCACCCCCACCCCCACCCAGGATACCCACAAGACACGCCAGAGGGTCTCGGGGCAGGGGCTGGAGGCCACACACACAGCCCCTTCGACAACAGAACAGCATTTATTTGTCATGCATTCAACAAACATCGGAGCCTGCTGACTGCTGAGCCCTGAGTGTGGCCCGCGGGCCGGAGCACAGAGCTGGCGGCCACGGGGACCTGCTGAGCGGACGGACAGTCACTGGCGGAGGCCGGGCGGGCGCAGGGGTGCCGCGGGCGAGGCGGCGGGCTCGTGTCCGCGCTCTCCCATCGCGTTCCTGGCACTCCTTGCGGATGGGTGCCGACAGGTGCAGACCCACGGCGGGGTGGGTGAGGACTGCCGGCCTCAGCGCCGCCCGGGGGCGCCCCCACTGCCCGGGAGCCCTCGTCTTGGTCCCCCAGGGGGTCCTTCAGAGCTGCCTTGAGAACAGGTTAAGGCCTGGCAGGGCTGGAGAAGCGAGGGGCCGTGCAGCGGGACGAGGGCACCCCGGCCCCCAGCTCCACTGCGCGCTCAGCGGGGCCGCTTGCTGTCCAGGATGGCCTTCCAGTCGTCCGCCCACGAGTGCAGCCGGCGGCGCGGCGGCTGCAGCTGCACATGCTGGTTATGACAGGCCGTGAAGAGCACGTGTTCCCAGCTGGGGTTGGGCTCGGCCCCTGGGAGGCAGCCAAGGGGTGACCGCTCAGAAGTGCAGGAGGGAGGGCCTGGAGGCCCCGCCCCTCCGCTGAGGCCCCGCCCCTCCGCCGAGGCCCCGCCCCACCCCACCCCCTGCCGCAGGCCACTGACCCGTGATATCCACCCGGTCATCTATGAGCAGGTCGGCGGACACCACGGTCTTGTCTCGGGTCAGCACGATCTGGTCCAGGAAATCGGGCCCCAGGTGCTTCTCCACCCAGGCGTACTGCACGGGAGGGAGCAGGGTGACATCAGGGACCCCCGGCTGGGCACCAGGTGCTCAGAGGCCGGGCAGTGACACACCCCCCACCCCACCCCCCAACACCACCACGCGCCTCCCACTACCCAGGGCGGCCAGCAGGGGGCGTCGTGAGCGCTCCGTGGGGCAGGCATAGGGCTCCAGAGCTGCCCTGCCCAGCTCCAAGCTGGGGTCCCCCGATGCCCCCCACACCTCCCTCCTGATATCTGAAGCTCCATGCAGGACTGCATGAGGTCGGGTCTGCCCAGCAGGGGAGGGCAGGATCTGTCCCCTCGAGGACTCCATTTGCCCCTGGGTAAGGGGGGGGGGGGTGGAGCCTGCTCTGCCCTGTGCTGTCCTGGCTTCCACTTTCCCTGCTTTATTTAAATGACAGAGCAAAGAGAAAGAGAGAGAGAGGGAGAGAGGGAGAGAAGGAGAGAGAGGGAGAGGGAGAGAGAGGGAGAGGGAGAGAGGGAGGAAGAGAGGGAGGGAGAAGGAGAGAGAGGGAGAGGGAGAGAGGGAGGGAGAGACAGAGAGAGGGAGGGAGGGAGAGAGGGAGAGAAGAAGAGGGAGAGGGGGAGGGAGAGAGGGAGAGAAGAAGAGGGAGAGGGGGAGGGAGAGAGGGAGAGAAGAAGAGGGAGAGGGGGAGGGAGAGAGGGAGAGAAGAAGAGGGAGAGAGGGAGGAAGAGAGGGAGGGAGAGAGGGAGAGGGAGAGAAGGAGAGAGAGATCTTCCAGCTGCTGGCTCACTCCTCAAATGCCCACGACGGCCAGGCCAAAGTCAGGAGCCAGGAACTCCATCCGGGTCTCCCACGTGGGCCACCATCTGCCGCCTCCCAGCGTGCGCATTAGCAGGCAACTGGGTGGGAAACAGAGGTGGAACTGGATCCCAGGCACTCCAGCGTGGGGAGGGGCACCCTGGAGGCTCCGCTGTTGTGATACCACGCCCACCCCTGTCTTGGTTTCTTGATGGCTGTGTTTTCATGCACGCACACACCCACACGTGCACAGACCTGTATGCACGTACACACACACACACACACGTGCATAGACCTATATGCACGCACGCACACACACACACACGTGCACAGACCTGTATGCACGCACACACACACACACACACACTCACGTGCCCTCCTCTCCTAGCGAGCTCCCCCTCGGCCTTCCCTCCAGGGAGAACCCTCCCAGGGGGTGGGGATTAGGCTTAGGGCTTGGGATGCCAGAGTCAGACCCCAGGATCCCATGTGAGAGCTTCCGGGGTTGGGGCCAGTTGCAGCATAGCGGGTAAAGCCGCCACTGTGACGCCAGCATCCCACACGGGCGCCCGTTCTGTCCTGCCTGCTCCACTTCTGATCCAGCTCTCCTGCCAATGCACCCGGGAAAAGCAGCAGAGGGTGATCCAAGCACTTGGGCCCCTGCAGCCACGTGGGAGACTGGATGAGGCTCCTGGCTTCGTCCTGGCCCAGCCTTGGCTGTTGCGGCCATCTGGGTAGTGAACCAGCAGATGGAAGACCTCTCTCTCTCTCTCTCTTCTCTCTCTCTCTCTCTCGCCCCCTGTATGTGTGTCTCTGTCACTCTGCCTTTCAAATACATAAATCTCTTTTTAAAGAAGACTGACAAGGTATCTTCAGCGATCAGCGATGGTGTTTTGCAGGCAGAGTGTCTGAGGTTAGAAAAGAGACTGAAAATTTAACGGGCAGCAGAATGGTATTTATGGCTGGGCTCCGCACCGGGTGTCGTTCAAGGTGTCCGCCTCTAGGTGGCAGCACTGGCCACATGCTTGGATTTACTGGGTTGCTGCCACGCCCCGCCCCCAGCAGGGGGAAGGCCTGGAGGCTGGGGGTACAGACTCAGAGCAGGGTGGGGGCCGGGCGGCCGTGAGCGAGCTGCAGCTTCCCCAGCCTGAGCGTGAGCCTCAGCGTCTTAGTCTGTTTCGGGAGGGGGAGGGCAGTAGGATGGCTCCCGTGGGGAGGGGGAGTGACTCGGGGACAGACACTCCCCGGGGAGTCCTGGCTGGGGCTGCACATTGGACACCTGCTTTTCCACTCTGAAGAAGGGGTGGCCGCCCTGAGCCCCACCCCAGGCAGGGGGAGGGGGCGCGACCCCAGTCCTAGCGGCCACGCCAGTCCCGCCCCCCACCCCCCCTGCCAGGACCACACAGCTACTCCCAGGGCTTCCGGGCCCCCAAGGTTGGAGTCGGGCTGCAGCCGTGGACCTGGGGGCACCCCCCCACCTGCCCAGAGTGGGCCTGGCCTTTAGCCCTCCCTCAACGCACACTCGCGACCGTGGGGCAGACACCTCCCTCCCTTCCTCCCTCCCTTGCAGGTGCAGAAGGGGCCGCGGGTCATCAAGCCGGGGAGGCCTGGGTTCACAGCGCCCCGCCCCGTCCCTGGTGGGGGTGTGGTTCCCAACGCCCTCCTGGTCCCCCCCCCTCCCCAGCGTGAGCTCTGAGGTCCGGAGAACACTCCAGGGTGTGTGGGCCCACAAAGCAGACCGAACCTGAACCACAGCCCTTCGGGGAGTCCCCAGCACCCAGCAGGCGGAGGCCAGAGCCCAGGTGTGCAGGCCACGCCCCTCCTCGCCCTGGAGCCCAGCAGAACCCGGCACCGCCTGTGCGGAGGGGCGCCCTAGCCAGCGCGGGGCTCCTTACCTTCTCGTAGGGACAGTACTTGTACATCTTGATGGGGCTCGTGCAGATAAACACATCCGTGCTG